GAGAGAGAGAACAAGATAGAGAGCGAGGAAAGGGAGAGGAAACCAGAGAGAGAAAGGGGTAAAAGAGAGGCCTGGGGAAGGAGCCGAGAAAAGGAAGGAGAGGGGAGGAGGAAGGGACAGAAACAAAGTAGAGTATAAACAGGCCGACACAGTGTCAGAGTGGGAGGTGAGCCTGTGAGATGTGAGAGAAAGACAAAGGGATCGGAAGAAGGGGGAGAGCCTGGAGCAGAGAGTGCTCGGGAGAGAGCTTGACCCTGAGAACTCATACCAGAGATAAAGACCAGGAGGAGATGGGGATGGGGCTGGCACAGCAGATAGACACCATTTCAGGGCAAGGTGCCTGGCTCCTTGACCAGTGGCCCATTTTTGGCTTGTGCAGATGAACAGACACCTCCACCCTATGTGAAGGCTCACCCCTATACCCTTGCTCCACCCCCACCCCTGCCACCTCTCCTTGTCATCCAGTTTTATCCAGTCATTGCCTCTCTTAACTGGGCGCCTCCCAGTCTCAATTACAGCTGGGGTTTGGGGGGGGGGGCTTCCTCCTCCTGGAGGGACTCCCTCCCTGCCTCCTTCCTGGGCAAATTCCAGTACCAGTTGTTTAAAAAGGAGCCCTTCCCTAGAGTGTGGGTCCCCCACCCCAGTGACACAAGGAAGGGCAAAAGGCTTCTCAAACACTAAGTTACAGTGGTGGCCATGAGTCAGCTCAGAACCCCAGGACCCCTGCTTCTAATGAGGTCAAGGGACACCCCTGAGGTGGGTAGGGGCTGGATACTCAGAGTAAGCATGGACAAAGGTCCCAGTTCCCATACCCATTCCTGCGGGACCCATCTTCCTTTAAGTTCCTGTCCCCCAGGGTGGCAGGCCACCTTTTTTCCAGAGAGACAGAGGGATTCCTGCCAGTGCTGGGGGCTGGGTTTGGGTCTGATCGTCTTTCTACACACTCTTCTTGTTTCTGTATCTAGCACAGTAAAATGCACTTACTGGGGACAGAGAGAATGTCTTGGATGGTGGAGATACGATAATAGACAGATAAAGTTCAACGGGTGTGAGCCGTTCTGGGGAGGGTAGTGGGGGTGCTGGGACTTGGGCCCAGGTGATCGCGGGGAGGAGCAAAGAAAACGTGGTGGTGGTGGGGAGAAGTAATGGGAAGGACACCTGGGACAAGCACCTGATCTTGTCCTCTGCAGGCTGCCAGCCTCAGCCAGAACCTGCATGCAGCTCGTCCCGTAGCCCTCCAACCTCTCAGGCCCTCGAGCCTCAGTTTCCCCAGCTCAGAAGGCTGGGGCAAGGTTAAGGTAGGCCCCCGGTCCTCGTGCTTCCAGGGGTAGCCAGGAGCAGCAGTCCGGAGCGCACCCCCGAGCTCGGCTCGGCTGCACTTACCAGGGTCTGCTCATACTGCAGCGCCCGCGGCTCCATCCCTTCCTCCGCCG